TCTATTGTGTATTATAGTATTCTATCGTTTCCCTCATAAATTTTGGCGAATTTCACAACATTTCCTTAAAATATATTTTTAAATGTTTATTTAACTTTTTTTATGATTTTCAAGTGTAAATTAAGAGTAATTTGTACACATCACTGTCCCCAATACAATAATTTTTTATAATAGGCCTTTTTAACAAATTTTTTCTTCATCATAATAAGACGCAAAGCCGTGTCCTTTTTCTTCCAATACAACAAGTATACAATCGTAAAATTTAAAACACCATTGTTAATATTTATGAAATTAACTCCAAAGCGTATAATCTTTGACATTTTTACGTGAGCTACGCTTTCTCTAAAAGTGAAATAAAATTTTACTGTTCATAATAATATGCAACTATTTTAAGCATAATGCTTTCGCGCGCGACTGTACCTTTGTATTCAAATAAGGGGTGTATTCTCTCAAGCTGTTCAACAAGCGTGTGTTACAAAGTAACAATATTTTATTATGCCTTATAAAATTATGTAAGAGAATAATATATCATTTTATTTGCTTTTGTAGTGTCGTAAATATCTACTAAGCTAAGAGAAACGCTAAGAAAGTCGCACGGAATCCAAGAAAAATATACCGAAACATAGAAAATGACTACATAATCCCTTTTTTCTCGACAAGTCCTCGTCTAGCTAGACTGATAAGGTTATTACTTATTATAAATCCTAGTTTATTAATAGGTTCAGGGCTTAATCAATGGTTTTATGAGTATTTCTACGAAAGAAGTCACTTAGCCGCGGTGTCACAAACTTTACATTTAAGTTCGCATATTTTCCACGGGACTTCTGTATAGACACAGACTCTCGTTTAAATCTGAGACTAATAATAAACTACTTAAGGTGATGGATAAAGTTAAAGTTTCATAAATTTATTAAATTTATTAACAACATAATATACCGCCAGATCAAATAGCTTTAGAGCAGAATAGCCACGAAACTGGGCTTTTTTTTTTCAAAAAATATACTTTCATTAAAAGTATTAAATAAGCTAAAACATTTAGCCGATGGGTTCCACTCTAGAGCTTGATTGTCAATTCTGCGAGCTAAATGAATTTCCTCAAATTAATGAAAGTCAAAATCCATAGCCATTTCAAAAATTGTAAGTCTCGTCTTATATGCTTTCTATATAAATATAAAGCTTAGAAAAATAAGCTTTATTCTTCATCATCATCGGCCCTCCTGGACCCCTGGACACCAGCCTCTCCAGATATCACGCTCGCAGTACGAAATACTTCACACCTTTAACCATTATTCCCATCTCCGGTTGAATATGTATACTACACTACACTCACCATACGAAACACAGCAGCATTAAGCTACTATTTTACGCTGGTATTCTGTGAGAGCGTGGTCCTTCCCCGGTCGAGCCGAGCCATTTGTGCTACAATACTACTAATATAACTGCAGCATGGCTCTACCACACATAAACGAGTAGTGGCGCTGTAAGAATATCCGCTACCCCATATTTTCCCATGGGTATCGTATCGTGCCTAGCGTGGCAACTATGGCGAAATCCTCCCCATGAGGCAATCTATGCCTTCCTTCGCCTCTACAGATTACCTTATTTTATATAATTTTTGTAGGATTTTATATTGGATAGATAAATAAACGATTCTGATCTTAGGTCTTTCCTTAGACCCGACGTGAGCGTCGGATCTAAAAAAAGAAGGCAAAAAGGCTAGAACCCAATTTTTGATTCAACGCTGAATGCGTTGCTAGCATGTACCTTGCAAAGATCGTAGCACGATGTAACCACGGAGATTCTCAATTAATTAAAAAAAAACTACTTCCAGCCGCACAATTTCACCATCGCACATCGCGACAAAACTCGCGATACCATCCATTTCATCTGGATGACTGGCGGTCCACCTCTGTGCGATTTAAAAGAAGTTTTCTTCCTTGCACAACTTCCTTGTGTAATCGACTACCACCAGAGACTTTTCCGTACCGATAGGACTTAGGGACCTTCAAGAAAGGCGCTTACTCCTTTTTAAAAGCCGGCAACGCATCTGCAATTCCCCTGGTGTTGCAGTAGTTCATGGGCGGTAATCACTTACCATCAGGTAAGCCGTATGCTCGTTTGCCCCTTCTGCTATAAAAAATACTATCGACTAACTAAGGTTTGCCTAAGGTGTTTTCACTAGATGGACTTTTCCTCAATAGTTTTACTTAGTGATTGAAGTCCTGTTCTGCCCAGGAGTTCGTCTGGATAGCTACTACTATCTCATCTATTCCAGCCGCCAATCAGCATGCCTGCAATACTGTATTTGTTTGTTGTACTTACATTGTCTGAGTTATGTACATGTATAATTACAGACTGTGAGAAATTCTACCTTAATCCTCAGAGGTGAAAAGCATATGTAGCCTCCTTTGTTTAAAGTTGTTACAGGTATCTATGGACTGCAGTCGCCACTTACCATCTAGGACCGTCAACTCCTTTGTTACTTCAGTTTTAGATAGAAAAAAGATTTATTTGTCCATTTCTTAACAAATTAGCACGAAATACTCTAAATAAACATTACGCATAGGTAATCTTATAACTAATCTTATTTCATGGGACACATAATATAGACATATATATATATATATATATATATTAATGTAAGTATGTCTATATGTATGTATAGGATAGGATTTTTAATAGGATATGACAAATTGTATGTAAATTGTATGTATATATATACATATATATATATATATATATATATATATATATATATATATATATATATAATATGCTAACTAGCTTGCCAGGCAGATGTTGTTGTGCCCTTTTCGAGGACAATTTGTCATGTCCTATTAAAAATCCTTAAATTTCAAAAAAAAATTGTGGGCCAAAAGCTATCCTATCTCTCAAGTTGGACCAAACTACACACGGTGTGAAATTTGATTAAAATCGGTTAAGTAGTTTAGGAGTCCATCGCGGACAAACAACGTGACACGTAATTTATATATATATAAACTAGCTTGTCAGGTAGATGTTGTTCTGCCTTTTTCGACGACCCTTTGTCATTAGCTATTAAAAACCCTTATACTAGCAAAAAAAATTATGGGTCACTCATGGGCCAAAAAACTATCCTATCTCTCAAGTTGGACCAAACGGCACTGTGCACACGGTGTGCAAATTTGATTAAAATCGATTAAGTAGTTTAGGAGTCCATCGCGGACAAAGAACGTGACACGTAATTTATATATATTAAGATTATATATGTATATACGCATAACGCACAACATTCCTTTATATTTACTTTTGGGCCACAACTGCCTTATGCTTGTGGTGCTGTACCGGATGTTTATGAATGTTCATTCCATTGCATAACGAGATCCGAAATATACCTAAAAATAATTTCAGTTTCATTAAAAATAACCACTTATACACAATAGCAACCCGAGAGACATGCGCAAAATACCATGCTGCCGCATCCATTAAGCATATTTTAACACAGAACCTGGGGATTATCTACACGCCGAATGGAATATGGTATGAATTAATGGAATATGTATATATAATGAAAAAAGTTGTCATTTTCACACCAGACGTGATCAACGCCACCCATTGCTTTTGCAATTCTCAAATAAATCAATATTTTTGTGAGAATTGATTGAGTTTACAGATAACGAAGGCTATACCGGTGACTTTATTCAGTTGACGGTTATTTCATTACGAAGTATTGAAGATAAAAATACTAGTGAAGAAATTGTTTGCAATATCTATTGCGTTATTGTTTATCTATCTCGTTGTTTTAAAAGTGCAACGTTACAATTTCTCGCGATATTATCTAACATTGTCCAACGGTATACAGTATAAAGGAGGTTTCTTTGTTGTATCAGATACATACATAGAGAAGCGTACTATAACACTATAGCTTCGAGTTTCGAAATTCTTGAATTTTGAAAAATCTGAAAAAATAGTTTTTTCAATGAGAATTGATTAGAATAACAAATATAATAATAATATCCTCCAGACCCAATCCCGTTCAAGGCGGCAAGACTCAAGTACGGTTTTGAGCCACCTGCATCAGTCAACTTTATACATCTCTTACCTGGTCGTCGCTACATCTGGGGGAATCACACTACACTTCGTTTACCGGTGCCGGTTCTTCGTGCTATATGGTCGGTCCATTGCCTTTTCAATAGATCCCACACACCCTTCACAGCAGCAGATCCGTTGACCTATCACGGTTACCACGGTTCTACTGACGATAGCCTCATTACAGAGAAACTCCGAAAACAGCCCTCTCCCGATCCCGCTGAGCTACTGAAGCTTCCTCATACAGCTAGCATTTAATGACCACGTCTCAAATCCATATGTCATTATTAACAACCCATACTGACTGTACACTCTTACTTTGAAGTTTTCAGGTAAATGTGATAAGATATGTCATAATCTGTTGAACGCTCGGTTGGGCAACCGAGTACGATCCGTTGATTTACTTTTCGTCAAAGTTGTACTTACCTAGTCATACTATTTGTCCTAGGTAAACATACTCGCCGATAACTTCGAGCGTAGTTCTCCCAACAACTACTGGCATACGTGTGACATGGACATCACTCATGACCTTTGTTTGCCCATGCTAATTCTAAGGTAACATAACATACACTGCCGGCAAAAAATTTAGACCACAATTAAACAACATAATTATCTATAAATTGTAACTAAATTCTATAAGATAAATAAAAGAAATGTACACCTGCATATTCTATTGTTAACTGGTACTGGACAATAAACATGTATTGTTTTCAAACACTGACAAACGCTGCGTTAGAGCCAGGTGGTAGAGTCGTAATAATATTTTGATGGGCTAATAACAAATTGCTTTGCCTTCATTTCCCATTGGTCAATAATTAGGATTATTTAGCTTCTAAAAACACGTGTTTCCGACTTATTATTACTTGAGTTTGCATGGTTTTGTTCACAATCTCAATCTAAACTTGATGTTTCTACAGTGAAAACGTCATAAAATGGGAAAAGCACGCGAAATTAGCGGTGAAGTGCGTTCTGCCATCGTTGTTTTACATAACGAAGACAAATCCAAACGTGAGATTGCTTTACAATTGAAGTTATCGAAGACTTGTGTTCATGGCACAATAACTAGATACAGGGAGGCAGGCACTTTTGAAGATCGTTCACGCTCGAGAAGGCCGAGAGCTACCACGGCAAGTGAATATCATTTCATTGTTGTTACCAGCAAGCAAAAATAGACGCTTAACTGCACCGGAAATCCGCGTTGAAGTAAACAAAACCCGAGTTAAACCTTTATCATTGACTACAGTAAAACGGCAACCGAGAGATGCGAAATTGTATGGTCGTGTAGCCGTTCGAAAACCTCTGCTAAGACCACAAAACAAGAAGAAACGGATGCAATGGGCCTTTGCCCGTAAAAATTGGACTGAAGAAGATTTAAAAAAAGTTCTTTGCACCGATGAATCCAAGATTAAGCTATTCGGCTTAAAACGAAGAATTTATATTTATTTGATATTTAGAAGAGAAAGAGGCACAAAGGGGTGTTAAAAAACATAGTTTGGCCTCTTCAAAGCCTGGATCTCAATCCCATTGAACTTTTGTGGGAAGATCTTGATAGTAACGTCTGTAATTGTGGTCCATCCTCCCGTAAAGAAATGTGCTATATTTTGTGCGAAATTTGAAGCAATATATCACAAGACAGTGTCAAGCATTTTCAATATAATTTCCTTTATGGGTCTACTGGAAGATATTTCAGCTAATTTGGAATAAGTAGAACCTTTGTACGAAATTACTATAAGACTGCTTCTGTATCTTAATGTGTGTACATAAAATAAATTAAAAAAAAGCTTCTTGACTAAATGAACTCTGGTTGCTCGCATGCTACCAAATTCACAGCTAGTGCTTAGCCTCTCAGCTACCACTGTTCTGAAAGTAATCGTAGTCATCTTCATCCAGAGATATATAGAAATCTCCGTCATCACATGCAAGTTAGTGTTTCTGAATAGACTGTATTAAAACAAACATATATGAATATTAAAACTGTTTTTAAATAAGATTTTATATACTTTAAAAGTAATTATTATACCATTGCTTTACGAACGTATAATAAATAACAAGTCTGAATATTTCATTACCTTAAACCAAAATAGAAGCTGCTGTCTAATCTAACCACAGAATAGACAAAAGTACATCTAACTCAAGGTAAACTTACCTTTGACATTCAACCTTTATTAATTACGTAATTTTTGCTAATCAACACTTTTGTCGTCAATAGTACTTACGAGAACATGAACAGTTGCGAGGTCAAAAGCTTTACCGACCCTGGCACAGTGTTCGTGGATTTTGTACCTAAAAATTTATTATAATATCTTCTTTTTAGCGGCGAAGTTATCTTATTTTAATTTATACAATTCACTATACAGACTCAAATTGAGGTAAGTCTAATTGGCTTTTTGTTTAAAAAAAAATTAACAACTAATAAACGTCCCACAAGACAGACACAGACCTCAGTTTCATTACATATAGACTAACAAGACCGTTGCACTATTCCAGTAAATTGCATTTTAATCATAAGATACATGAGGGTAATATAAGATAAGAAAAAAGATAAAGATTTGATTAAGATTAAGATTTGCCGCCCTATAAAACCTAAACTAGGAGAAAGACATAGACCAAAACACAAAGTCGTACACTATAATTACTAATATATTAAGAAAAAATTGCAAACAAGCTCCGGCTATAATTAAGAACACTTAAGAAAACTAAATATTCTACACCATAATAAAAATGACTAAAATATTTACTATAATGTCAACTGTCAAAATGGCATCGATAAAGCTCTTTTGACCCCTTATTAATTGATTGACTGATGAAAAGCTGCGTATCACAAAGCAATCTATGCAAACAAAACTCTAGTTTTTAAGTTACAAGAAAGAGATCATATTAACCGGATGATCATATTGCCCTCACGTACTCTATATCATAATCATTCATAAGTTGCTTGGGCATAGCAATAACGGGACGTCCCGTTTCTAGAGTATCCTGCGGATGTGTCCCGCAAAAAAGATTTTCGGGACACCAATTGTTCCGTTTTATGGTATACGGCTAGACTTCGGATCCTTCGGATGATAGATTACTAAACGTATCTAGATCTCAACTGAAGATCGCGTGTGATTCTCAATTGTCATTAAATTATGTTTGTGTATCAGTCTGCTTGTCTGCTCGGGCTAATCTTCAAGAATAGCTGAACCAATTGTAATAAAACTTCACGAACTTGAAGATTTTTTTTTGAAAAAATCGAAAAAATAATATATTAAAGGGCTTTTGATTACTTCACTTGGAATAGAAATATCTAGAAATATCTACAAAATATACAGAAATCATGTATAGAATTCTATATATAATTTCTGTTTATTTTGTCTGGTGTGCAATAAAGAATAGTAAATACCGCTAAAAAGAACCCCTTTGTCGTATCTCCTCAGTTTCAAGGCACTCCCCTTATTGCCTCAACCAGTATCGGAATCCTCGGCATCGACATATCGAGTGACGTGCAGTTTCGTGATCACTTGGAAGAGAAGGCCAAATTGGCCTCTAAAAAGCTTGGCGTGCTCAGCAGAGCGGGACCGCATTTCATGCCGGTTCACCGCCTGTAACTTTACAAGGCGCAGGTTCGGCCGCACACGGAATACTGTTCCCATCTCTGGGCCGGGGCTCTCCAGTGCCACCTCCTTCCACTTAACCGCATCCAGCGCAGAGCTGTTCGAATCGTCAGCGACCGAGCACTTTCCGATCGGCTGGATTCACTGGCACTGCGAAGACATGTTGCATCTCTTTGCGTATTTTGTCGCATCTACCACGGGGAGTGCTCTGAGGAATTGTTCGGACTATTTCCAGCCGTATAATTTCATCACCGCACATCGCGACAAAATTCATTTATACCATCTGGATGACTGGTGGTCCACCACCGTGCGATTTAAAAGAAGTTTTGTTCCTCGCACAACTTCCTTGTGGAATCGACACCACCATTTTTCCGGACCGATACGACTTATGGACCTTCAAGAAAAGAGCCTACTTCTTTTTAAAAGGCTGGCAACACATCTGCAATTCCCCTCGAGTTGCAGTTGCTCATGGGCGGCGGTAATCACTTACCACCAGGTGAGCCGTATGCTCGTTTACTCTATATCGCTCCCCTATAAAAAAAATCGTTGTCAAATCAAATTTGAGATGAAACAGTTACATTTGTATCTGAATTGAAATATTTAGATTTTCAATTCAGACATTTTTGTTTAATTTTGCAATAGGAGCCGTTGTTTTGTTCTAGAAATTTAAATAAATTTAATATGCATTGTAAAATTTTCCAAATATTTGGGATGTAAGAACGGATAAAATAATAGCAAGAAAAGGCTTCTTGGTGGAATTTCCCGTGGATTAAGAAAGGTAGGTGGAAATTCCACTTTAATTGTAATATTGTATTAATATTATATAAGAACAATAATATAAATCCTAATATAACATAAAACATTATGTTGTAATTATAGTCAGGTATTACAGTCATTAATTATTAGGTACATGTGTTTCAATTTGATAACTAAAATTTGATAAATAACTTGGACTGTTATCAATGGGTAGAATTTGAGTTGTGGCTTATGTCCCTGCAATAAGAATGAAATTAGAAATGAGCTGGTTTATTTTCATTAATATGGTACTACTTCACGTACTTACGCCCTAAGAGTCACATTATGATTGCCATTTAATTTAACAATTAACGAAGTAGTCATTTCTGGTAATAGACGGATATACTTAGAAACTACATCAGATCAGAGCTGCTTATGTTCTTTCTATTCATTCAATAAAAATATTTCGAAATTTATAATTAGTGTATTTATATTACTTTTTCAGATGCAAGCAATGGGTTAAATGCGTTGGCAAAGAAGAGCTGGTCCATGTACCACAGTTGAAAAACTTCACGCGTTAAAGTATGTTATTATATAAGTACCTATGAATATTAATTTCTACAGATTTGCCTCACTGTTTCAATATTATGGTTTTATTGAGGTTATTTTATTATAAAAACCGCCTTCATTATCTATTGCCATAGACAAAATAGATAAATATTTAAAAAAACGTTTCGTTTTTAATATAGTTTTCACTTTATAATTATTTTTATGATAGTCCCATGTACTACAGAAATAAAAACCATTTATTTATGCTTAAAATTTATTTTCTTATTACCTACATATTTTTGTATAACTGTTATGAACGATTTTAAGCATCCAATTTCACACATCTCCTTTTGTAATAAGGAATAAAAAAATATGCACTTAACTGTCCAAAACATAGAAGGTTCAGCATGAGTAATATAGGCAAAAGAAATGGCAAAGAGAGTTTGGTGCTGGTACTGCAACTACTTTGAGATTGACAGAGCCATGGCATGGTGTCGTGGTGGAGTTATAGTTGTAGACTCATGGTTTGCTTCGATCAAAACAGCTGTGGAGATATTCAAAGTTGGATTATATTTCATTGGACTGGTAACAATAGCACACAGCTTCTATCCCGTTGTCGGAGATGGCTGCAAAGTGTCCGATGCGCAAGGGGGCATTTGTTGTAAGTACAGCGGAAAAAGACTCAGTGCAGCTCATTGGCTGTGCCTGGAAAGACAAAAAAACTCATGCATTTGTTGTGAAACGACACTGTCAGGCCTGCCATCACGCATAAGAAGGTGGAATGATAAAGGAAATTTATTTTTCAGAGAAGTCGCTAGGCCTCAATTACTCCAGCACATTCACAACCACATCAGGCAGGAAAAAGTTAGGGGCACACATAAATGGGAACATATAATATATGCCTCAGATCTGGGCGTTATAGAAACAAATGCGCAATTGATTTTTAATAATTTGTTCCGCGCCGAACATGACCAGGTGTCTCAAAGGTTGTTTAGGTACTACCAACCTGGTATTAGCTCTGACTAAAATTGACGTTAATAACCTACAAGAGAATGAGCTGCCACCACATGCGAACATCTGTCATAGCGGACAACACATTCTTGAAGCCTTGTCAAAATCAGATGACAGAAAGAGAGTTCAACGCAAATGTATAGTTTGTCCAAAAATCCACAAGAAACAGCAGAAAGTGAGCTATTTTTGCAAGAAATGTGGTCCGCGATGTGTTTTGTGCTCTCCGTAGACAGGAAGAAACTGCTTCACCTAACACATCACGAATGGAATTTCTGCATATTTTT